ATCTGGTTGATAGCAATACTCCAGAAAGGTAGAAAATATAAATTGAATAATTTCAGACAGCAGAAAATTGAATCTGGATCTTTACTTTTTAAGAAAAGTACTTTAATTTATGAGCTGTTATAGAAAAGAGGTGCTGCAGGCAGCTCTAATTTCTTTTCTTGGGACAAGAAGTTTAAAAAGAAACAAAGTTGCGTAAATATCAGAAATGGGTTTCACATGTAAATCTAGAGTTCCCTTGAACTGCAGTTTGAGTAAACTGCCTGAAGCTGGAAGAATGTGGCATTGAAGGCAACCTCCTGTTCAGTACTTCTCTTGTGACAAGCTGTGGGCAACTTTTTGTTTAGCGTGGTTGCTTGGTAGCCTGCACTCTGTGGTGCCCGTGTTCTCCAGTGTCAGGAGTCTAGAAGTAAAGAGTAGATTTTTAGGCAAGGCTAGTGCCGTCCTTATGCCCATCTTACGTTATGAAGTAAGTGTATCAGTGTTCAGTGTATCAGTGGTTCACCTTGTACTAGACAATTAACATGCTCTGGATCCTATTTGGGTGCTACTTCACGATAAGTAACTTGCTTTGCGACCTCCTCTGATTACGGTTTTAGTGTGAACTTAATGAGTAGGATCCAGATCATTAAGTGACTATCCACTCAAATATGGAAGGGCTGGAAGGCGTGTCCTATGAGGGGAGGCTGAGGACTCTGGGCTTTTCACTTTCCATTTTCAGAAAAGGAGGCTGAGAAGGGACCTCATCACTCTGCAGCTTTGTGAGGAGGGGACGTGGAGAGGGAGGTGCAGATCCCTTCTCCCTGGGATCCAGGGATAAGACGTGTGGGAACGGTTCAAAGCTGTGTCAGAGGAAGTTCAGACTGGATTTCAGGAAGTGTTTCTTTACTGAGAAGGTGGCCAAACCCTGGAAGAGGCTTCCTGGAGAGTTGGTCGATGCCCCAGGCCTGTCAGTGTTCAGGAGGCCCTTAGTGACCTGCTTTAACTCTTGGTTTTTAATAGTGTGCTTTAGCTTTTAACTTTAACCTGTGGTCAGGCAGTTGGACTCGATGATTGTTGTGGATCCCTTCCAACTGAAATACTCTGTTCTGTGAAGATAACATTTTCCTGGAGTCATTGTTTGTTGTACTCTTATTTCTTGTTTCAGCTTTTGACTGCATTTGAACATGCGGTGAACTCTGCTGACGCTGTTCCTAGTGAAGACCACCAAAATCTTTACAAGGACTTTATTCAGTGCTTGTCAAAAGTAAGGTTATGTTACTCTATCTTCATGAGTGAACAGATGTGATATCCCACACCTGATGATTCACACAAATAACTATTTACTTTCTTCCTTTCAAGTTTCCTCATGAAACGGGGAGGTTGGAAAAGGCCTGTAATGATATGATGGCTTTGTATCCCACCGTGAGTTATCCTTTAGAAGTACTTTGCTTGCACTTTGTTCAGTCAGGTGAGTAGGATGGATTTAGACATTTTGGAGGCTTAAATTATTTCTGCTATAGTTAGTTTTGTGACAATCTTTTTACAAGTTTTTACCTGTTGTGATGTAAAACAAGTGCACTATTTACTTCTGTGTTTTATTTCTGCCTGTCTGGAAATGAAAAGTGTTTGGTCCTATCATTTGCTGTTTCCTAGCTTTAACTGGGTGTTGACTCTCTACATTGGCAAAAAACTTGTGAGAGTTAAGTACAACTCTGCTAATGGACGAAGTTGCAAAGAAAGAACGCCTTACAAAACTCAAAAGCAGCCTTGGATACGTGGATAAATGAAGGATAGCTTCTTCAGCATGAAAGAGGGAATGGGGAATGTGAATCAGTGTTCTAAGGCTGAGGATGGTCTACATTTAAGTTAATCTTGACACTGAAAATCTCTCATGCTGAAAAAACTAAACAGACGTTTATGAAACTTTCTTCAAAAGAATGCCTTTTGAATAGGGAATAAACAAGCCTGTTCAGATATTTGCTCTAAGTAGAAAAGGAGAATCTGAGGGGAAAAAAAATACCATGGTGTGTTGAATATTGCAGGGATCTCAACACATTTGCTATTTTCAGTAGTTCACTAAACAATGTTGCAGTAATGTTGGACACTTTCTCAGTGTTTTCAAAGCTAATTACTAAATTTTGATCTTTCATTTTATTGTTTAAGGCATCAGAAGTTGGTTTTACTTCTTTAAAAAAAAAAAAAAAAGAAAATCAGAGAAAAAAACCCAAACTCTGGTTTATAATAACTTTCAGCTTAGGTAGAAGAATGCCTTTTCCAGTTTCGAAGGTAGGCTTCATGAAATCATGTAGCAACCTACAACAGGGGAGACTTTTCACTTTGATTTGAAAGGATGAAGACAAACGAAGCCCAGACTCTCATTTCCACGTGACAATGCTTTACAGTTTGGAGAAACATGCAGAAACTAATTTCTAAAGGAAAAGGAGCATGTGGTTAGCACAGTTCTTATATACCAATGTTCTGACAACATCTCATCATCCCACAGCCATCTTGGGGAGGGGAGGATGATGCTTAGGTTTTAGTGAGGCTGTTTGTTTACGTCTGAGTCATTCCAACCATGTCATAGACCTTCCTGCCCCAAACCTGTGGGCTTGTAACTCAGATGCATTATGGGTCACTTTTACTAAATGCAAATCAAAGGCAACTTTTCTGTCAAATGAGTCCCTAGTTTTTTTTGTGTTTTTTTTTTTTTAAGGAAGACAGTAGTTCAAACACTTCTGCTGCAAGTCACAACAGTTGCTTTAAGCAGGGGCTGCCAAATCTACAATCACAGCTAAACACAAGCTTCAGGTGTTAGTGGCAGCAGTTGAAATTAAGCCAAGACGCTGTTGTTTCACTGCAAGACTTTTCAGCAGGCTCACCGCAAATTTGTGGGCACACAAGGCTGGCTCTGGAAGGAAATTATCTTCATTTACTTGTGGCAGATTTTGACATGTGGGCATCCAGCTGGGCTTGCGTGGGACGTGTGTGAAGGAATTAGTTTTTATTAATGCAGGAAGTATACTTCTAGTAATTTAGCATGAGTGGTTAAAAATCCAGGTTTCAGACTGACAGTTTACTTCGGTTGGTAGTACTAGGTATTTAGATTGCTGCGTGTTTTTGGGGGTTTGGTTTTGTGGTGGAGTGTAAATATGTAATACCTTTAGAAAACAGTTTAGCTGCTAAATTCATTACTTTGATCTCAAAGGATAAGGGTCGTATTTATGTAGATAAGGTAGGGTATTGCATTTTTTTTTTTTTAAATTTAAAACTATAAAATATTTCTTTCACTGTAACCAGGTACTTTGTCGGAAGAAGCCATGAGCTGTTTTGATAGGCTTTTGGAGATGGATGCAGGTAGCGGTCCAGGCATCATTGGTTTGGGTATAAAATGCCTCCAAGAAAAGAAATACAAGGAGGCTGTTAAGAGTCTTACTGAAGGTAAATGCATGATATGTGAGGTATGTAAATGTGTAAATATATGAGGTAAGTGTATGAGGTATAAGTAGTCTGAAATTTAAACATCAGCTTGTTTATGCTGGATATATCTTACACTTCCATAGTACATTGCCAGTTCTAAGAATAGCTAGATTTTTAAAAGAATACTTAACACTTTCTCTGATCGGCATTGAAATCTTTTAGAATATAGTTTAAAGTATAACACCTCTGTTTTCGTTGCTGTTATAGTCAGCTCTGCAGTATTTTAGTGTGATCAATTTTAAACTTTTTTTTAACCTGACTGTTACTGGGGAAATAGCTAGATGAAGCAGTGAATACAGCAGTAGCAATTAATGAAGGAATGTGGAATTTATAAAGTAAAATGTAACACAGTTTCTCTAATCTAGTCACTGCATTTCTGTACCTCAACAAAGATGACTTCACTTGAAAGTTACATCACTTTAAGACCTCTTTAACACTTACATGGGGTAAACAATTATATTGTGTATCTAAAGAGAAATATTGGAGGAATTTTTTTTTTTTTTACTGTAGCCAGATTTGTTGAAGAGTTGGCTCACTAATCTGTAATTATTTTGCTTGTATTGAAATAGCAAAGCTCTTTGAAAATTACTCATAAGTATGCTTGTAGGAAAATTGGACTTTCCACTCTCACTGTGCTGGCCATGGAAAATTCAAAACAGCTTATTGAGGGTAAATAAGCATCTGGGATCTCAGCAATCGTGAGTCAATCAGGCTGTGCTGTGATATCCCATATCCTTTCACCCAAGTTTAGAATAAGATTGTTTCTAAATTTGGATTTCGGAGAATTCTTCAGTGGCTTACCCACAGTGAAATAACATGTCTTGCTGAAATAAATCTGAAATAAAAAAATGTTACGGGTTTAAGAGGAGTAAGTCTTCCACGGAAAACAAATTCTTCTAGTTTAAGTGGCCATTGGATGTTTCAACAAAACATGCATCCTGTTTTTGACAAAAGACACATATCCCAAATGGTTTTATTTATTTGTTTTTACTTCTACATGTGATACTCTGCTCATGAAGGGGAGAATGCAAAAGGCAAGGCTCTTGGTATCAGCAGAAATGGATAAAGTTTGGAAATATGTCTCCCAGTAAGCCAAGTGTTTGCATCTTGGGTTTTGAAACTTAAAGACATTATTTGGTAGTAATATATGTATCTCAGAAGATTCAAATTCAGTTTTATTACTGAATCTTTAATTAAGGCAAGTTTATCAAGAAGTTTCACTGAAACCCTGTTGCCATCATTTTTTTGCTGTCTTGAAGTTCTGTAGGATTTTCCTGATTTCTGAGACAAACTTCATAAAGCTGTCTACAGGCTGCTGACGTTCATGTCTGATCAAAGCGAAGGAGTTCTTCCTTTTGAAACAGAAGTGCACCTGAAGCCAGTGTTGTATATTACCTAACTGTTCCCCCTTCTTTTCTGCTGATGTATGTTACATGCAAACTTAAGCCTAACAGAAGCTTACATGCTTCTTAGTCTTTGCTTTACTGCATGGAGTTTTGTATGTCTAAAGCAGTTTAAAATACAACTCAAAGGAAAAATTAACTGCAGGTCTCACTGTCTGATTGATAGTGTGTTTTTGAGGCATCATATGGTAACACAGCATCTGTCAGCTAATGTCTTTGCAGCCTTAATCAAGTTCTTGTAGTGCCTTTTTTTAAACACTTTCTTTTATTAGGTTTGCAGAAGACTAGCCAGTGTCCAGCAGCATGGCGTTATTTGGCAGAGGCGCAGATGAAAATTCACAAGCACAGGGATGCTGTCCTGTCCTGCAATCAAGGTAACTCTCTGCTAATTGAAAGAGCAGCTGCAGGGGTACACTTCAGTGTTCAGCCAGTGTAGCCTTTGCATAGTCGGTCTGAGTTAGCAGCATAGTCTGTTGATTTTTGCAGTCTCATGGCCTGTGCTGCTGTTCCCTGCTTCTCTTGGGTTATGACAGCTGAAAAGCACCATGTGCTGCTTAGTTTCAGGAAACAAGAAAATAACTTGGTGAATCCGAATCGGAAAGCTGTGTGATGGTTAATATTTAGAAGGTTTGCATGTTCTGATGTGCTTTTTCAGCTGGTGCTTGACCAACTCTGCTGAACAGCAGATAACTGCCTGAAACCACCAGGGTAGGTACCACAAATTTTTAGTGTAGTAGACTCCGTATTTAGACTTAAAAGATAAGATTTTAATCAAGTTAATGTAAAATGCAGAAATGCTGCATAGTACAACTGCATCTCAAGAAACCTCACTGTGAGTGCAAACCTTCATTTGTGCTAGTTGGGCACCATGGCAGTTGTTAAGGTCTAATCTGAATAGACCCATTATTGGATGGTTACACTTGAAGGAGCAGCCAAAGTGTACTTCTTTCTGACATGGACAAATGCAACAAAAAACTTCTCAAGAAAGACTTGTAGAGGTAAAAGTATGCACACCTGGCTAAACAGTTGGGGAAATTATTAAAAGCAAGGGGAAGTACCTGCCAGCAAGGGAGATTCAAAAGAGCTATAAATTTCGGTGGAAGAAATGTAAAAACAGAACAAAGTAGGTGAAAAGACCTTTATTGCAGAAGGAGTGAAAACGAGGTGGTTCTTTTCCCATCTGTGTTCAGTGTGGAAGAGCTCAGGGTGACTTCTACACCATGACCCTTGTTTTCAAGGGATTCATCACACAACTTGTCTGTGATTGTAGCATTAATAGACATTGCTATAAAACAAGACAAGAAAAATTGGCATTAAGGAAGTGTGAGATATTGACCTAGGAATTGACTGAGGGCCCTAAAGATTAAATTGCTGAAGTACTAAGTGGTTTATATAGCTGCTTGCTTAAACTGTCTTGCCACCCAAATGCTTAGAGGTAGGTAACATGACCCTAACTTTTATAAAGGGTTATAGGAAAGATCAGGGAAACCACCAGCAAGTCTGGTATCTGTAGTGGTTATGTTAGTTAAACTGAAAAGCAAAGTTAAGGAATTTATGTAGAAAAATTATTTGGGGGGATAGACAGCATGACATTTGTAAAGTAAAGCTATTTTTAAGAACTCCCTGAAGGAGTTTACGAGCACATGTGTAAAGGAGTTGTGGTACAGTCTAGTGTGATTTCTAGGTGATAATTGACAAGATCTCTTACAAAACTGCTAAGGAGACTAAGCAACCTTGTATAAGAAGTAGAGTTGTAGCGTTGAGTGTTTTCTTGTCAGTTTTAAGTAAGTTAAAAGCTAGAGCACAGTATACTAAGGTTGTTTTTTCAAGATGGAAGGAGGTCTCCCTGATATTTCCACCAGCACTTGTGGTGTTCATTTGCTTTTCTAGTCCTTTATGAATGTTGAGTAGTAAGGTTGTAAAGCTTTCTGCTATTCAAAGCAGACTGAAAAACTAAAAGATTACCAGAGTGGGTAACCAGATGTTAATATAAAATTCCATAGTCTTAAATGCAGAATCATGCAGTTGAGGGAAGAAATGTTCTCATAAAGCTATACTATGGTCTTGTTGAAGTATAGAGCAGAATGGTCTTGGTTTTGTATGAAAATATAGGACTGTGTGTTTCCCCTTGTATGCTTTACAGGCAAGTTGAATATTAGGAATCACAGGTTAGTGAAACAGAGCACTAACATGCAGTTGCTTTAAGAACTTCAGCAGCACCATGAAATCTGTGAGCAGTTTTTGTGTCCATCCACTGCTTCTCAGAAAGAAAATAATAGTAGAAGTTAATAGACTGGTAATAAGGATGAAAAATGCAGCATATGAGAAAAAGTAAGTAGTTTGTAAAGTCCTTTTACAGCCTGGAGAAGAAGTAATTTTGGGATATGTGAAGTTAGAAGTGATGTGGAAGATAAACTAAGTTTTTTGTTTTCCTCTGCGAGTTCTAGGTAGTAAAAAATGAAACAAAAAGCTGGCAGGCTCAGAACAAACAAAATAAGTTTTGTTTCTCAGTCCAAGGTGTAAGTTAAGCTGTTGTGCCTTGCTATGTAGAAGGGTACAGGGTTACCTTTGCACAGGCACAGCATTAAATCCCTGGTTTTAGTAATATTTTTTCTTTAAACACTGAAGTGTAAAGCTACTTTTTTTTGAATGATCATTGTTTCTTCAGGCATAGCTCAGAAAAATGTGGTATTCCATTTATAACGCTAGCAGATAGAAAGCAGTCTCTCCACATGTCTGAACACCTTTCTAAAATTGATTCAACTTTTGAACTTGAAACAATAGGAATTTTACAGAAAAATTTCTTCATCATGGGGGAGAGCAGTCAAAAAAATTGTTCAATTAAGTGGTGCTCTATTAGACTGAAAAATTGTAAGTAACAAGATTTTAAAAAAAAAAATATAGGGAACAGTGGTGTTCTTTGCAGCTCCTTTTTTTTAATTTTTACTTGATGAAACTTTTCTCTTGTCAACAGCTCTCAAGGCTCTTGGAACTCTTGAGGGTCCTGGTCTTCGGTGGAAGAACCTTACCCTTAAGTTGAAAGCAGAGGCTTTGATTGAAGTACCTGATGCTGATGCTGCAGAAGAAGCCATTCAAGCACTTGAACAGGTATTTTCATTGACTAAAATGTACATATTTTTTTATTTTAAGAAGTGCTCTCATCTCTCTGTACCAAAAACTCGAGCTATGTATTTCTCCCCTTGCCTCCATTTTTCATTCTGTGTGGTTTAGGCAACTCCTACCAGCTACAGTGTAATCCAAACACTCCTTCCTTCTCTGTTTGTTGTGGTGGGTTTTTTTTTTTTGTTTTGTTTTTTAGACTTTGATAGAACTCTTTCACTCATAATTCTAATTTTAGAAGCTGTCACTTTTGGTCTGTCTGAATATTTTCATGTCTTTGTCTTCATGAAGTCTCACTTCTTTTGACACCTTTGACTTCTTAATCTGGGGAGAGAATAACTTGGTTTTGTCTATTACTTGGTTTTCTAGATTGTGGATGCAAGCAGTGATCCAGTGATTTTAGCTATCAGAGGTCAGGCTTGCCTAAAGAAAGGTTTAATGGATCAAGCTTCAAAGGTTAGTGCTGTACTGCCATTCCTGTGAGCTAAATAGAATTCTTGGTTGCATAGAGGAAATAACTGAGAAAGAATCATGCCCTTTTGCAGATTTCACAAGAGCTTCTGTTGTCACACCCTGACCTGACTGAGTCCCATGCTCTAGAGGGTTTCATCCACTATTCCCAAAAAAACTACGAACAGGCGGAAAAAAGGTAGATTTTTTTTGTTTTTTCATTCCTCTAACAGGGAAATATAGGGGGAGAATAGAACATAGTATTTTGCTGCTTTTGAGAGTTTGTCTGATATCTCTTCCTTTTATTTAGTTTTCTGAATGCTATTGAAAGAAAGGCCGAAACTGCAGTGTATCATCAGTACCTGGGTCTCACATACTGGTTCATGAGGGACGAGACAAAAAAAGACAAAGGAAAAGCACTCACTCAGTTCTTGAAGGTAAAGGCTGCTTTAACTGTTCCTGTAGAATTAGTGTTTTCCTCTATCAGCAGTGAAACCTGGAAAATACACTGACTGGGATGACACACTTGAATATTGTCCTTTTAAACATTTACAAGACTCCAGAACCTGTAAACCAAGTTCAGTTGTGCAGAATAGCATTGCAGGGAACTGTGCAATTACCTAGAGTCTCCCTGCTTTTGTTTTCCTCTTTACCTAATTCTTGATGCCTTTGATGTAGTCAAAAGTAGTGGTGATTTTCTCAGAGTCACTCCTTGAGGGCCATACAGTTGAGGGCTCTAGCTGACCAGCGTAGATCTTTACAGACATTTTGAAATGGGGAGGGAGAATTCAAAGTGGAAGAAAGTGTGGAAGAAAAAAAAGATAAGAATGCTGTTAGTTTCAATGTCTGTCCAAGGAAGTAAGTCTGCAAAGCCCCACAGTTTATATACTTTTCCTAATATTCGGCTTTTTTGGTGGTTGTGGCTTTTTGTCTGAACACAGGTAAGAATATGGATCCAAAAGACTTAATCTGACATCTTTATTTGCAACATGGGAGTATATAAAATAAGAGTCTAGACATAGTAAACTCACCACATAGCTTCATGGTAGGTGTTGGCAGCTCAAATCATTGCCTACTATTTGCACATCAATAACAGCAGAGTATACTGGAGAATGTAGTTGAAGTGAACAATACTTTCAGTTCTAAAACATTTTACAGTGGCTTTTTTTAAGTTATTATAGGATCATAGAGTCACAGAATGGTTTGGTTGGAAGGGACCTTAAAGATCATCTAGTTCCAACCCCCCTGCCATGGGCAGGGACACCTTCCACTAGACTAGGGTACTCAAAGCTGTTTTCTGCTGCTTGGGGATCTGAGTTTAAGTATAAACAAATCTGCTAAGTATATCTAAAAAGGAATTTGAACTTTAGAGAAGGCTGGAGTAAATTGTGATTTAATATGGTAAGAGTATGAGGATAATGTTTGAAACAGTAGAGCATGAAAATGATGGCATGTGGTGAGGAATTATTTTCTCCTAACACAACTAGCTTGCTAGTTCTTCATGAACAGATGCTTTGTGTCATGAGTTTTGTAGCAGAGGCTGCAGATATTGAACGCTCAAGTAATCTCTGAAATCTTAAATTGAAGTTTGACTATTGAGATGTATCTCACAGGGAATTTAAGCAGAGATTGAACAAGTAATTATCACTGGACCTGTCCATCATATAATCATATCAGTATAATCCTTCAAAATGTTGTCTTATATTCTGTTCATATTTTCTTATAGGCTGCAAAATTGGACAGCTACTTGGGAAGTGTCTTTTGTTATTTAGGTAACTACTACAGAGATGTTGCTGGAGACAAAAGTAGAGCCCGTGGTTGCTATAAAAAGGCTTTTGAACTGGATGAAACTGATGAAGAATCCGGAACAGCAGCGGTAGACTTAAGCATGGAACTTGGAGACATGGTATTGTACATTCAAGGCTTTGGATTACTGCTGTTTTGTTTTTCTGTTAGTCCTGCGCTTTGAGGAATCACTTCAGACTTCGTCTGTATTTGGGAATGGGATCTGAAAACAGGTGTTCTGTCATTGCTTAGTAGTTTCCATAGTTGGACCTGCTTCAATTTTATGTTCCAATTCCAAGTTAAATCTGTCTGGGAAGAAGGGTAGGGGAACCAAGCATAACTTTGCGTTCATCACATGTATGATCTAGATGAAGGGTTTTTTCAGTAGGGAAGATGAAGAAAAAGTTAATTTTCTTCTCATATTTGACTTGTGCCACTTCTTTTCTCCATCCTCCACCTTGCTTCTTTCAGTAAAAGCATACAAAGTCATCAGTGTCTTAAAATATATTTATTGTACAGCATTGTCTAACAAGTTCTTGCCCTATGATATTACAGAGCAAGTGTAAGCCATAATTTGACAAACTCCACTGGCACGTGTGGAAAGTCAGTCTAAGTGTCTGACGGTGCAAATACTTGTATACTTCTGTATCTTTAACCAAATAAAAAAAATACTCTCTACAAAGCTGCAGGAGCTACTGTCTGTTTGCAAAGATAGGTACATAAGAATCCTGTCATTAGATGAGGTAATTTCCCCCTCTACTCTGCCAATCAGCCTTCCAGCTTTAAAAACCTTCTGTAACATTACTTCATTACAGTAACTAACAGATTAGACAGTGGGATGGTCTGCTAGATTGGGAGTTGTCTTAAACAAGAACTTTGTTCTTTACATATACAGGTATTTACTAACCTGGCATTTTTGGTGCTTTGTTAGGACACTGCCCTGTCAATCCTGAACGAAGTAACTGAAAAAGCGAGCACTGGTACGGCAAAATGGGCCTGGCTTCATCGTGGACTTTACTACCTGAGAACTGATCAGCCGTCACAGGCAGTGGCTGAGTAAGAGAACTAGTGGTTGGTTTAAGTCATTTTGTATAAATCCCAATAAAACAGGCTTTGATTTTTTAGCAATATTTGAAAATAAGTTAGCTGATAGTAGGATGGCTTGTACTAAACAATGGGAAATGGGTCTGAGGAAGCTGTGCCTGTCTTCAGTTCTAGATTTAGCTCAATGTGGTCTTTCCAACGTAGTGGTGTTCCATACAAAGAAGCCTGGTGGCAGGTATAGACTGAATAATGAGCCATGATGAGTCAACATCTCAACTTGTAGAATGGTCTCTGAAGATGAGAACACTACTATGCTGTATTTATAAGTTCTGTATAATTGTGTGTTTGTGTTCTGAGACTGTATAATGCAAGGAAATTGTTTACATTAATGGGTATCATCTTTTATTTAAATAAATGTGTATCTTTATATTTAGTTTGCAGGCAGCTGTCAGGGCTGATCCAAAGGATTCCATCTGCTGGGAGTCTCTAGGAGAAGCTTACCTCGGCAGAGGTAGCTATTCAACAGCTCTGAAATCCTTCAGGAAAGCAAGTGAGCTGAACCCAGGGCTCGTGTACAGCATTTACAGTGCTGCAGCAGTTGAGCAGCTTCTAGGCAGATATGAAAATGCTATAGCTACCTATCAACAAATCTTAAAGGAGACAGAAGATTATGTGCCTGCACTGAAAGGTAATATGTTTGAATTTGATTGTGTTAACTCTTTCTCTCTCTACACACTGTCATGCTTCCGTCTTGTGGAGCGGTTCTTCATGTATTGAACTTTTCCTGTGTGGAAGGATAGGGCTGGATTTTGGGTATGTGATCGACTTCATGAAAGCTAATGTGTAGTAGCCTGCAAATAGTAGAAGAATGCTCAAATCATGCTGCATGAGAGTGATTATTTCTTTTCCAAGTAAGCATGAAAGGTAGTTATTCCTGTGGAGTTACCAGGCCAAATGAGTAGAAGACTTGAAGATAGAGGAGTCTAGCTAACAGTGTTGCAGTTTCACCTAAGCAGTCAAACAGTGGCCCAAGGGGCAATGGAGTCAGCTTCAGAGAGGTGGGCTACACTAATTTTCTGCTGCTTCTGGCCATGAGTTCCTCACTTTTTGTGTTAGCCGTGCTGATTCAGACCCCTGTGAGCTGCTTCAGGTGATGAAAAATAGCAGTGAAGTCTCCCGAGGGCTCTCACCAGTGCTGGAGGTGGTGATGGTAGAGTTCTTCAGTATGTAACTAAGAGCAGAGGGAAATGAGGGAATTGGATCTCCTTTCTGATGATGGAACTGTGATTCTCAAGATAGGTAATATTGGGTCAGTATAACGTTTTGATAGCCAATGAACAACTGTTTGGTTAACATTCTCCCTGCCACTTAGTCTTCACTCATTCTCACCCCCTCCATCTGAAACAGATGCTGTTTGCTGATAGGTATTGGTATGAACTTTTGTTAGTGTTCTTTTGTGATGTGTAAGGCCTTTTGATTTTTGGGTGAATGTAGGCTGTTTCTTGTAAGAGTAAGTCAGAAGTGTTGGGTTACTCTTGCAACAGTTAAGCTTTTCATCTGAAAGGGCGTTAGGATGGTTGTCCCTCTACCTCCTCCTGCATAATTTTGTCACTTGCAGTTTGTCAAACTAAAGCGACATGGCAAAAGTTCCATGATGGGGTTGGAGGGTATTGCAGATAGGCAGTTTTACTGGTTGTTGGGCAAGAAAGCAACAGCTGATGGCAGCAGCAGTTTGCAAAGGTCTTGTGTAGAAGTGCCTATGACTTTTTTTAGTGTATGTAGGTGACAGCTACAGTGTGACCTGGAATAAAAGGCTTAGAGGACATAAGCACACGGTATCAAGGTTTCATCCCCTCGTCAGTTGACTGCATACTTATTCTTTTCTTAAATCTCCTAAATCTTCTCTCATAATCCTTCTCATCCTACTCTCTGATTTGTTAGCTCTGGATCCTACTTTCAGTCCCAAAACAGTCTTCACCCTCTCAGAGACTGTTTAGTGTTGGTCTGTTTGCTATCATTTCTGGACCTTCTTAAAACTCTCTGAAACATACATCAGTGTACTTTGCTACTGTTCTGATCAGTTTAGAGAGTTCCTAAATCGAGTGTTTGGAAGCATAGTCTCCTACTAGGTGAGAGAAAACTGAACTGATGTTACTTGAACAGATCTTTCAGATGTATTTCTCTGCTATTAAATTGTATGGTTATTCTGCCTCTGCCCCAGGATATTGCTCCAGGGTATCTTTTAATATACAACCTTGAGGAGTAAAATCAATTTTGTTTTTAGATTACAAAGCTTCCTGATATCTGTGAAGTTCATGATCTTCGAACTTATGCGTGGTCAAGACAAATACCTAGTTGGGTCAAGATAAAGATGCTTGCAAAACATGACCACTGTGATTAGTAGTTTGGTGTAGGTACAGGGTATGATAGCATGAGGAGGGTAGCTTCAGAACAGTGCCAACGATACTGAGAATGAATGGTACTCATAGCCAGTGCCTTACTGCCAGACAGAATCACTGCTGGTGCCAGCAAGAGTATAAACCCAGCAGTTATCTTGTTGGTTCCAAAATGCTAGAAATTTTGGCATTAAATGCAGTTCCTTTTTTAACAGTTGGATTTATTTACATATGAAGTAAATTCTTAACATAAATAGGATTAAACAATGTTGATTTTAGGTCTTCAGAAGTCTTCCCCTTTTGCCTGCCTTGACATTCATTCTTTCTGTGTTTTGACAATGATTTTTTGACTCGTGAACTGAAAGTTGATATATTTTTTCAAAGACTTAGCTAATATTTGAGGACAAACCCAAAGCTTAAATGATATGCTTTTTATAGTGAATTAGATTTATTTTAATATGCAAATTACACTGCAGTTCCCACTTGACAGGACAGGCCAAAGCAATGTCCCTGTTGTGAGCACTGTAGGTATTTTGATTTTGCCATAGCATGTGCAGGGTATAAATCGTTATGTCAAGCAGATCACTGAGCAGGCTTCCACCCTCCCGCCCCACCTCCTTTATCAAGCATGTCGTAAAAGCAGCTATTTTCATAGAGAACTTTTTCTCTTCTTTTCAGGACTTGGTGAGTGCTATCTCTTGCTGGCAAGATCAGCCCTTGATAACTGTTTTGATAGGAAGGCTATGGATTACATAGAGCAGGCTCTTGAATCTTTTACAAGGTTAGTACTAAATACTCTGTTATTTAATTTCCACTTGGGATTGTGGGTTAATAGGTTGAATAAGAGTTAAGTATTTGAATATTTTCAGTTAAACTAGATCTAATGGATCAGTCTTTTAATGTAGAAGCAAGAATGTGCTAACTGAAAATGGTTTGAGTATTGTGTTCTGGACTTAGGACATTTAAATGAACGGGTAATTATAGAAGGGTTTTTTTTTCTATTTAAAGATACAGTCATTTGATTATAACACAATTGTTAAATGAGACACAGTTCTCTCCAACTGTCTTCCTGTATTTATGGGGCTAGGAGGAGGGGATTTCTACCAAAAATGGTGGATGAGAGGAAACTGTTCCTTCCCTCTCTCAATCTTGTTTTGCATTTTATACAAAATGCTTTAGTGTCCTAAATTAAACCGTGGGTTAGCACTGTTATGGGAGAAGGTCCATTAGGATTTTGGATGAGTCATGTCTTGTAATTTAACATGATAGTGCTCTGAAATGCAAGAGTGGGTGTAGTCAGCTGACATGTTGATAGATAACGGCTAATGACTCCTAGTCCCAACAATGTTGGGATATGCTGGCATTTTGTAGTTTCTCCTTTTTTAGTTATTTTTTTAACCTTTTAAATATATAATCTTGACCACTGAAGCAAAAAAAAGCAGCCTACAGTAGGTGGAAGCAGGGACAGGGAGCCTGGGAGGGTTAGAGGGAAGTTGTCTGAGAGGTCAGAGATCAGGTCAGGAAAGCCAAAGCCCTGACAGAATTGAACCTGGCCAGGGACATCAAGGCCAACAAGAAGGGCTTCCATAGGTACACAGGGGATAAAAAGATGATCAGGGAAAATGTGAGCCCTCTGCAGAAGGAAACGGGAGAGCTGGCTTCCCAAGATAGGGAGAAGGCCGAGGTACTTAATGCTTTTTTTGCCTCAGTCTCCACTGGCAAGGGCCAAAGCCATACCCCCAACCCCCAGAGTCACAGAAGACAAGGGCAGGGACTGAGAGAATGCAGAGCCACCCGTGGTCAGTGAGGTCAGGTTTGGGAATGCCTGAGGA